CAGTAAAATTTAAAACTACTAATTTATTTTACCTAATTTTAGATTTTTAACTCTTATAGTACTTTTTATTTTTTTTTATTTTTTTATAATTAAAATATCTCTAAAATAATTTTTATATATCTCAAAATTAATATAACCTTAAATAATTAAAAAAAAAACACTCTACGTTAATTTATTCATTTAAAAATATTTATTTCTTATCACTATCCCTACTAAGTGTGGAATGTTTCAAGCAACAAAAAGCAGCTTAGGGTAGAGTGAGCATTGGTACGGTATATTCATAACTTGTAAGTGTTATATTTATTTGGATAAATATATTATTTAAACTGAATAAAAATTAAATAAGTAATAAATATGAAAATATAATCACAATATGATTTCTCTAACATGTGTTCAAGGCACTGTTTTAGTATTAATCATTATTAAAAAAATAAAAATTGACATTCATGTAATTAACTGTATAATTAAAATGATTCACATAATATAGATAATGAAAAAAATATTAAATTTTGTCATTTTCAGTACTAAATAATGTCAAAAAAATGAATTAATTATATATTTAACTTGTATCTTTAGAATATAGATTAAGAAAACACCCATCACAATAACAATGACACATTGGCTTAGTGGTAAGGTATAGGCTTTTAAAATTTCATATTCAAATTATTCATTGCACATATATGATTTAGCATTAAATGTTAATTATATACAATTTAACATAACTATATATTAATTTGTATAATTTATAATATAATTCAATAAATTATAAAGTATTTGTATTACAATACACTTATTAGCTAATAGATAGAAACCAGTTCTACCCTTACCAAATATTTTTATGGAAATAGAGGAAGAAGTCTGAACTATACCTAAATAAAATAATTGAAACATGAAGGATTCAATTGAATTATATTTAAAAGGTCGAGTAGCATACAATGCCAGTTTGGTAAACTGGAATCCTCCGATTTAGATTTGCATTCCCGTTCAATTCAAGTTTCAAAAAAATTGCAGTGGGCCGACCTCCTCCGTTCAGATTTCCAATTCTGCGGGCATTGGCGGCACGAAAAACACTGTTTTCCGGAAACGATTACAGACGCAATTAATCAATCAGATGGTGAAAGGAAGCCAGAACCTACCGGCGGATGTGAGTCAAGTGATCGATCAGCTAGAGCGTCACTGCTTAGCCCCCGATGGCTCGCTTGTCTCCAAATCTGCCTACTACGATCTTCAACTCGTAATCTTTCTTCACTTCTTAAATTTTTTGGGAGAAAATGTAGTTGGCTAGCTGCTTTGAATTTCAAATTGAAGAATATAATCTTTGTTTTTGTCTTTTTGTTTAATTTTGCTGAAAATATCGATTTTTGGTTTGCAGGCGAGAGAGGAAATGTCGAGAGAGAGATTGCGATACTTGGAAGCAATGGTAAGTCTCTGATTTAATTTCTTTTCTATGAAATTAGTTTATGCTATGAATTGGGGGTGTGAAATTGCAGGCAATTTACTGTGAAGCAATTGCAATGGTGGAAGACTATCAGCAGGCTGTTTCCGTGGCTAATCTTGGAGGGATTCGGGATGTGCAGGGTTTATACCCCCAACTTGGCTTAAAGAACCCTCCTCAGGTTCCACTTGTCTTTGATCTTTTTTGCCAAAATGAACAATAATCTTTCTCGGTCATGGGTTACTCATGCAATGTTTCATTAGTTTTACTAGTGACTTTATCATTTTTCGTTCATATAATACCATAGAGTAAATTGATAGCAGTTGAGACTTGAGAATTTGATGTGAGAGATGTTATGCTTTTATGATTTTTAGGTTTATGAGACTCTAGAGCACAGACTTGTTGTTGCAGAAGCAGCTCAAAGATTAAGACTTCCACTGATATCTAAAGATGGTGAAATTCATGAGGAAGAAATTGAAAAGTGGAGTATAATGTCAAGAAGTTCACTAGATAGTACCAGTACCAGTCTCACAATCAGCTCAAGTTCAAACTCGCTAAATTATTCAAATAACGCCGCTGCTGCAACAAGTAGTGCTAGTGATGCAGTTGAACCAGGAGTTGGTGGCGTACCTAATCGCTTTCTTGGAATAACACCTGCTTATTTATGGCAAAATCAGCTTCAGCATACGTTTTCAATGGTATGATAACTCTATGATGTTACTTGGGATCATTTGCAAAACTTCTGTCAACTCACTGCTTTGTATAATGTAACATGTTAAATTCTGAATTTGCTGTGTTAGGATATGACGAACTACCAATTGTGTCTTGCACGGGAGATTGAGGCTCGATTAAATGCTAAATGTGACAAGTTAGCAGATGCCTTTGTTGATGACATTGGTAATTCTTGTGTTTCTTTTGTCATGTTTTTTTCTCTTCACATCTTGTTTATGTAAGCTCCTTTGCTTCATGTATTTGGATAGAATAATTAAGAACAAGAAGTTCATCTGTGCTGCTATCCTGTGTCATTAGTTCAGCTTTGATCCATCCTTACTTCTTGTTGTTTACAATTCACAAAAGAGTAAGGCAGATCAACACTGGCAAAGGGCAAATTAGTTTAGTGTTTTTTCATTTTGCAAACATCATATTCTAGGAGGTTGGTAACATGGATATATACATGGTTATGCTGCTCAAACCCTTCATGGGTGTGCTTAACACTTCAACTTCTTCTCTTCTGCAGACTCATCTTCTGGAAATCAAAGTTCAAGTGCTCAGCTTCCAGAAAGGTTTGAGTTACTTTCTTTAGTTTCCTCAATGTGGTTGACATAGCTTTATGCTAGATGTTGTTCATGTTTTACTGTTATTGATTTGATCAGGGTTAAGTTGATAATTGAGGAGATAGAAAGGGAAGAAGCAGCATTAAGGGAGGACCTATATTCTGCAGATAGGAAATTTGCTGAATATTACAACGTAAGAGCAGGCTTTGTTTATGATGACTACTTATGAGATAATGTTTTACTTTGGTCTCCTTTCCTCGTCTGAACCGAAAGGAAGGGTTTGTTCACATCAGAAATCTAACTTGTATGACGCCATTCTTCTAAATGAGCCTTCTGTATGTACCAAAAATTGAGCCTTCTATTTGTTTGAGATGATGTAAATAATTTTGTCTTGACTAGGTCTTGGAGCAAATACTTGGAGTGCTCATTAAGCTTGTCAAAGATTTGAAATTGCAACATCAACATAAATATGTAAGTGTTCTACTTGGCAATTTCCTCTGCTGGTTAAGGATGTATGTTGAGAGTTTATTCTTTACTCTATTGGTCACTTCATCTCATTGATCTCTAATTCATTATCAAAATACTTTGTAGGATGAATTACAAAAGACTTGGTTGTGCAAACGCTGTGAGACTATGAGTGCAAAATTGAGGTTAGTTGCCCTATTATATTTTACAGATGTAATCCTCCATTTTTCCTGCATAGCTTTAAATTTGTTTTGCTGATTTTTAAGGATGGGTAAGGGGTAATATTTTGTCTTAGATAATTGTACAACTTCTTTAGTCTAATCTGATTAGGTTACTTACTAGCTGGGTATTTCATTTAGCAACATCATCCGTCACTCATTCTCAAAATGGGGACATTCTTCTTTACTGCAAGTCTATGACTATGATGATGAGAGTTTAATAGCATGTATTGCTATTCTTGATATGTTGCTTTAATGTCACATTTGTCCACATGAAAACTGTTAGCATCAATTTTAGTTAGTTTCTCTGATGTTTCTAGACAAGTTGATTTTATAGAAACAACCTACTGAATGCAACTACATCATTAGTTTGCAATTCACTATGGTATGCTCTTGCTGATCTTCTTTTCATATCCTGTTTTGTGTACATTTATTTTCACAGGGTTTTGGAGCATGTTCTCTTGCTTGGAACTTATACACACGAGTCAATACCAGCATTACATAAAATAAGGTACTTATGGACAATCTTCCAGTTATTATTACAGCTTGTGACTCTGTTTCGTTCGTTTGTATACTCAGTCTTGCTCTTGTTGACAGAAATTATCTCGTTGAGGCTACAGAAGAAGCTTCTGCTGCTTATAATAAAGCGGTTTGTTTCATGATGTCTCATGTTTTTTTTCAATAAATTGCTAAATATCTCTTCATTCATACATGTTTTCGAAGCATTGGGTATATGGATTTTATTTGTTCATGGACATTTAGCACTACATGGCAGCTTCATTCATACTCATCTTGAATTTTTTTTTTTTTTCACTCCAAATTCGGGTCCAACCTTTATACCAGATCACGCGTCTCCGTGAATACCAAGGTGTGGATCCACACTTTGACACAATTGCAAGGCAGTACCATGATATTGTGAAGGTAATCTGAGTTTACAAGGTTTCCTTTCTTGATTTCCTCAACCAAAATTAATTTCACCTTTTCTTGTTAGAAACTGGAGAACATGCAATGGACAATCCACCAAGTTGAGATGGACCTCAAACGCTTACCAGATCACCAGAGCTCGTGAGAATCTGATTGCCTTTGGTTCTACCTGTTGAAAATTATGTAATTTTATTGTAATAGAGTTCAAGAATTCAATGCATGAATCCCACCCTTTTGATTGTTTCGCGCCATAGTGAATGGAAATGTCTTGTGTTCCTCGTTCTTTTGGACCAAAATTCTCAACTTTTTTCACCTTTGAGACTCTCTATATGGCCATATAATATACCACGAAACATGTTGCATTGGTTGTAACGGCAGGTTGGAGGATGGATTAAGGAAACATTTCAGCATTATCATAAGAACCTCAGATATCCATGGCAAGACAAGATTTCATCAGTGTTCCCCTGAGAGCTAAGACTTGGAAACATTTCAGACAAAACATGCTGACAATTTAGAAGTAGATATTGGCATTCTTCCCTTAGCACGGGAGTTGGGGAGTGCAACTTCTGGTTCTGAATCAAGAATATAATTATTCAACTCTATGAATATCAGGCACATGATTCATTGAGATAGAGGAGATCATAACTAATCACTATATGCACTATGTTACACTCTGAGGGCAGAACCAATCCAAATTAAAGGTTTGCTGGATGGAGACCTCCTGGACATCTTGAAGCCGTAGTTGTCCTAGTTCCAGGAAATTAATTATGGTCTGGAGAGGAAATTCTAAAACAGCTTGCCTTGTTGCTGGTTACCGCTTCTCATCATGGTAGAGAACTCATTGTAATCGATTTTTCCATCCTGTTAAAATGAGAGAGAGTGAGAATTGATGCATGATGTTTTCAAGCGGAATGTTTCATATTTTATAAGGTAGAACACACAACTTACGTTGTCTGTGTCAACTTCAGATATTATTTGTTTGATAGTGGCATCATCACCCATTCCATATTCTTTCATGGCTGCTTCAAGTTCATCCATTGTGATAAATCTGTAAACGAAGAAAAATTAAGTTTGGTTCCATGCTTCTCTTCGTTATCATGAAAAACTAAGAAAACTAACCCGCTATTGTCCTTGTCAAAATGTTGAAAAGCTTTGTAAAGATGCTCATCCCTTTCTAGCCTGTGCCTGTGCATTGTGGCTGTGATAAATTCAATATAGTCGATAGTCCCAGTCCCATCTAAATCAGCCTGGAACACAAAACAAAGGTTAATATGATTACAATAACAAAAAGAATTGAGAAACTAACGCTTAAGCTGTATCTTACAGCTTCCATGAGCTGTTTAACTTCAGCCTCAGTAAGCTTTGATCCAAGTCGAGCTAGTCCAGCCTTGAGTTCATCATAGGTAATAGTGCCACTGTTGTCAGTGTCCATGTTTGCAAACATTTGCTTCAGTCCTTGGATTTCTTCAGGAGAAAGACTTTCTGCGATGACCTATATTCCAACAAGTTTATCAGATGAAAAGCAGCAACTAAAAACTCCATGATTTTCACCAAGATAATCTGATGGATCACGAGCCAAGATGCAGTTCTAGACCTACCTTTAGTGCAATTTGCTTTAGTTTGTTCATTGCTCTGAATTGTTTCATTCTACAAAGCACTGCACTGTCTATTGGCTTGTCTGATGCTTCTCCACCTTTAGTCCATGCATGATCTGCACAGACCGAAGACTTTTAGTTTTGAGGTGTGGTTTGGAATGGTAAACCACATAAAAACATGACTAAATTTATATCAAAGAGAAAGTAATCTCACACTATTGTAATTAATGCTATATATATATATATATATATATTTTTTTTTTTCCCAAAGCATTTCAGAGGGCCTTGATTCTTTCTTTAGAGGGCCATGGACAATTGATTTTTGAAAAAGTTGGTTATAAGCTCTTTCTTTGCTAAAATCCCCATTTACCTCCAAAACTAATTCAAACAAAGCATAGCTTTTTAGCAAATCTGAAAAAAGTTCTCCCAAACAGCCCCAAAAAGAACTGCTAAAAGTATAGTTTGAACTTCTGCAAGACATGCAAGAAGACTAGCTATTGCAGCGAATAAATACCTAGAACTTGAGCAGAAGAAATCCGCTTTTTTGGATCCGGTGTCAACATCTTGCGGATTAGGTCTTTGGCACTGCTCGAAATAGATGGCCATGGAGCAGAATGGAAGTCGAGGTCTCCATTCAGAATTGCATCGAATATCCCCTTCTCTGTTTCTGTAAGGTGCAAGCATTAATAGTCATTAACTTGTTAATAACATGTGGTGTGATTGTGTCAAAAGAAACTGAAATGAAAAGGACATTAGACTTTGTCTTCTAATTACCTGCCCAAAATGGAGGTACGCCACTAAGCAAAATATACAACATAACTCCTGCGCTCCATATATCTGCTTCCTTCCCATATTTACGCCGTAATACTTCAGGAGCAACATAGTAAGCACTCCCAACTATATCCCGATATGCCTTTCCTGCAAAGGGAAAACAAACAATGTCAATGACCACAGACACACTAATAAATATGAATATAAATGCATAAACATAAAGAAAAGATACTTTAATGCTTTCCACCCGAAGATCCTAAGAAATGAAGCCTTTGGACTTTTATCAGCCAGGTCAAAGGCCTATCTGCTTTCTAAATTGGTAACCATGATAAATGGTCAAAAAATTAATAATACCAAAACAACAAATATCTCCTATGAGAATGTGCATATCACATTCAATTCAACTAATATGTTGAATAGACAAAAGCTTAGATTAAGTCAAAGGTGAAGGCTTCTGAATCTATTGGTCGAATCATGCCAACAGATTCTTAATATAAGATTGATTTGCAAATATGCAACCTATCCACTCCCAAATTTGGCACAAATAAGGCTTTATTAGCAAAATTTTTATTATTAACACCACTCATAATTGATCATAATATCTCTTTCAAATTTCATTACCAAAACACCATGAACAACTCAAAAGGATTCTGTAGCAAAAACTTTTAAAAAGAAAATAACTTAGAACAATATTGGAAACAATGCTTAGAATCAGTTAGCAACTTACATTTCTATGGAATAAACATCTAGAGGTAAAAGTACCATAAATGATAAGCATATGCATCTTCCATTGAGCCAACACACTTCTATATGACTAATCAAAATAGCAATGCAAGTCACCAAATAATAGTAGGCAACAGAAAATTACCTTCTTCAATGAACACAGACAACCCAAAATCTGTGGCCTTCAAAAGAGCATTCTCATCCTTGCTAGACAACAAGAAATTCTCAGGCTTAAGGTCCCTATGCATCACACCCATGAAATGACAGGCATGAACAACGTTGATGATTTGTCTAAATAAAGAAGCAGCAGCCTTTTCAGTATAATGCCCCTTAGCTATAATCCTATCAAAGAGCTCCCCCCCAGCACAGAGCTCCATTACAAGGTGCACAGATTGCCTATCCTCATAAGCACCCTTGAATTCCACAATGTTAGACTGCCCACTCAAATGCTGCATAATCAGCACTTCTCTCCTCATATCCTCCTTATCATTCGTTGTTAACAGCCTCTTCTTGGATATAGTCTTGCAAGCATACTGCTTACCAGTTGAATTCTCAGTACAAAGAAACGTCACACCAAACTGACCTTTACCCAGTTCTTTACCCATTTTATAATGCAACCTTACATCCTCATATGGCTTACCAAGGATTATGTCACTTTTCTGGACAGGCTTTGGACTTGGAACTGGAGCTGGAGCTGGAGCAGGAGCAGCCGGTTTCCACGGTGCCAGGGCCACAGGCTTCTCAGGTAGCTGATGGCGTTGGGGTTGGGGTTGGGCCGGTGGAGCTCTGGATTGGGGGACAACAGGTTGCTGGAATCTCTGTTGCTGGACAACAGTGCCTGCTGCTCCTGGTCTGTACCCATTTTGCTGTGGTTTTGTGTGTTTGCGTTTAGTTAGGCAACAGCCCATTTTTCTTATTGCCCAGAAATCAAGAATAAAATTTGGAGGAAAAAATCAGTAACTTTGTAAAAGATAACAAGCTGAAGGGGAAAAGACCCGATTGAAAAAAAAAAAAAAAAACAGACAAATAATTGAGAATTGGATCAAGAACTCAGTTAAGGACTATAATTGAACTAGAAAGAATTGGAAAAACCAAACAGAATATTAACTAAAAAAAGAATTTTCAGATCAAGAACATAGATTTGAAGCAAGGTAAGAAAAATATGATAAATGAAACAAAAATAACCCAGACGGGGAGTTTGAGATAGGGAAATAACCAGGGAGTATATGATGGTAAAGAACACAACTTTGGTATTTGCTTGTATGATGTTTAAAGTGGGTAAAGGGGGGATCAAAGGTTCTGGCTTTTTAACCAGATGCAGTTTCTGGGAAAGGGGTCACTTAAAATAAGGTGTTTCTGGGAATGGTACTACATGGGAAAGGATGATAAATAAAGACTTGGTCAACCCGTTTGTGTTGATGTTGAAAATCTTATTGTACGAGAATCTTCTCAAGCAAGGGACCAGGCTCAGCAAATTAAACAGAACCACAATAGATTTTTTTTTTTTCCTTCTGAAAGGTCTCCACTCTCCACTAAAGAGACTTTCACATGTTCTTCGTCATTTTTTTTTTCTTTGGATTTGTCCCTTTCTCCTTAGGATAAAAATAATAATTAAGTAATAATTATGATATTTTTAAAAAAATATATAAAATTTTGAATTAAAAAAATAATTTTTATTTTTTAATATCAAAATAAGTTAATAAAAAATTAATACATAATACTTATAACAAAAATAAAAATTAATTTCATTATTTTTATTGAGTAGAGGATAGATAAACTATTTTTTCTTTTTTT